TTTTTCTGTTCTGTCTTTGTATATGTATATTGATATTGATGGTGTGCTTATTTAATTCTGCACATGTACCATATTATCGTTAATTTGTTTTAGTATCGAAATTAGTGAATGATGAATGGAAAAACGCACATTTTGATCGCCACGACTTTCAGTATGCTTCTAACATTTGTATTTGACTGTGTTCTAGTCCAAACTCGAGTATATAATTCATTATTTCAACAGCATGTTATTGATATGTTACGCAATTTTTGTCTGGTAGTACCCTGTTGGTTCAATGGTGATCATGGTAATAACTTAAAATGCATAGGAAGTTTTTTTTTAATAATACAATTATTTATATAGGTCTCGGCTTATGTAGTTATCTTTTGTTGGGACCTGGTTTAGAAACACTTCAATTGATGGGAATTATCATTTTCTTATTTCTTGTATTAGTATTATGCTATGGTGTACAATTGTTCGATCGTATAAAACCGATGGCATTGACGATCTTAGTTGTCTGGCTTATTATGCGTTACTTTGATAATCACAATATATATTATAAAATGGATATGTTAACTGTTTATTTCATTGTTTGGCAATTTATTTATCTTATGTGTAAATGGGAAGTTCTTGAACTTAAATGGCCTTTATTAATTCTTCAACACGCATCATGTTGTATTTCCTCATCTATTGTGGCGTTTCTTTTTAATGATATTATATTTGTTTATTTTCCATTTCAACTCAAAATTGCGTGTTTATGGTTATATTCATTGTATGACATGTAAGTTAAAGAAAATCTTTTTTGTTTTACTATCATCAAAAAAGAGCTGATCTGATTAATATGATAAATTGATGCTCGTTATATCGTTTGTCTCAAGTTGAATTCACATAACCCCTGTTGCAAAAGTCTTGAAACAAAATGTTTGTTCAGTTTTCGGTCATTTAGAAGTAACTTGAGAAAATGAAAAGTAGTCAGTTAGAATCAGCATGTGATGCTCTCTCTAAATGGGTATTTAGAATTCTTTTTCTGGCTTGAAGTTGATTCACTGAGGGCAAGTCTTTGATAGGCATCAAAAATGACGTTTGTACAAAACACTAGTTTCAAAAGTCTTAGTGAATATATTTGCTGATGTTTCGGACATTGAAATCCAATTGAAGAAGATCAAAAGTAATCAGTTAGAACCAGAATTTGATGCTCTTTCTAAATATATCTTTAGAATTTTGCTCTAACTTACGAGGTAGGTAGTTGTAAGCAAATACTTGAATAAATAAAGAAGTCGTTTTCATGACACAAATTGATGTTTTATCGTTCATGCATCATTTCTCTAAAGAGTATTTTGGATAGTTTTCACTTCCTATTGTTGTAGAGAATTTCATACTCTATAAAATCATAGATTGCAGCCAGCTAGAAATGAAATGAATCAAAAGCTAGAAACATTTTTCGAAATACTACTCTTTATATAAAACGACATTTTTCACAATAATCGTTTTTGACAATTTTTCATATTTAAAATGTAACAGATCCTGATACTTTTCAATGACATGTAGAGAGCAAAGCCAATTGGATATTTTGCAGAGCAAACTTCACTCTACAAACTGGTATAGAAAAACACTTTCCTATAATTTGAATTGAGATAGTTTTAATGAAAATATAATACAACAATGAACTACATGAAATATTTCGTACAAACGTCATTTTTGGTACCTATCAAAGATTTGCTCTCAGTGAATCAACTTCAAACCAGAAAAAGAATTTTAAATACCCATTTAGAGAGAGCATCGCATGCTAATTCTAACTGACTACTTTTCACTTTCCCAAGTTACTTCTAAATGACCGAAAACTGAACAAACATTTTGTCTTAAGACTTTTGCAACAGGGGTTAAAATATTCATTTTAAAACACTTATTTTGAGTGAGATTTGCAAATGTTCATAATAAATAGTAAGAGATACGGTTGATTGGAGTGCATAAAATGTAAGTTAAAGATATAAAGTAAAGAATGATCAATATATTTGAATTGTTTCGATACATTTCAAGGATATGATCTGTTGTCAAAAATTTTTAAAAAGTTAAATCGAAGATCATATTTGAATAAATACTCGTTTAAAGAATATTCCATTAGTCTATATCACGAACAAGCAGACATTCTTTTACGTCAACTAGAGGACTTATGCTTGAAATAGAATTTAGTAACGATATATGTATTTAATCGGAAGAATAAAAAAAAAATGATTACTATTAGGATGATTATATCTAAAACTTGAGTATAAATGGGATTATTGATGGTCATTGTATAGATGCCAATAGTTTTAGTTTTGAAAAATCTGATAAATAATTACTTAGCACTTCTTTGACAGGATAAATGATGGTTACAAAAGAGCAGAAATGAATTAATTATAATAAAGTTATGTTGGCTTAGAAGAACTTCGTTTCTGATATTGCTTTCGATCTAACTGTAATTATTTGAAATTGATCGGTGTTCTTTATTTTTTCAAATCTCAATGATTATCAATGGGAGTATTTATATTAAGCAATAATCAGTAAAATATTCTTGTAGTTGTTATGAATCACTTTCAGGCACGGTGCGACCGGAATATGGGGTTGGAGGAAAGTATCTCCTCTTGCTCTGGTCTCTATAAAGCACCATTGAGCATTTTTGAAAAAGTTGTAATCTTATTGTTTACTTTTTGTCTAATAATTTAGTGTTGTTTGTCTTTATCGATATGGTCATTTACGCAATGTACTCGTGAATCAGTCCTCTAATCTATCTCCCCCTGGTTTATATTATACATACGACGTCGATGATATTTACGACGATAAAAAAACTTCTTATAATGACGATTTTGAAGATGACACAAATGCTAAAAAATATTCAAATATGGACAACTTTGATTACGAAAGTGATCTTTTTCTTGGCCTTGGTGATTTCGTTACGTTTAATCAAATGGTTTTGTTGATATTGGTTCCTGCATGGTCAATCTTAGCAAAAATATTAGTAGTATTGGGATGTATAATAAGTATACAAATTGGTCAATGTGGCACGGCACACATTGATCGATTATGGCAGCTACCTAACGTTCCTGGTTTACCTTTCCCTGTGATCGCTTTCTCGATATATACTTTCATTCTAAATCTTATTATGAATTATACAAATAGGGATTGTCAATAATCTATAGATTTACATAGATTTGTACAAAAGAACTTGTGCTTGAGAACAAATATTCATAGATGTGCCGTCTCTTTACGTTTTTTTCTTTCAATAAATACTGTAAATAAAAAGTTACACATGTAATCTTATTTTGTTTAGTCTATTCTGATTAAGAATATTTTACATGTGCAGCTGCTAATAAATGTGTCAACTCAAAATCCTTGTAAAATTATTTTTTTGTCTCTAACTAATTAACTACAAGAAAGATTGTATTTTATATGATATTCTAAAATTAACAGCAAAAAAATACGTGATGAATTTTAGACAAAAAAAATGTCTTTTCAAAAAGAAATGTAATTAAATGTTATTTTATGTAACAAAGACATTCTATTGAACAAATAACATTGAATAATAATAGTCAAAGAAACAAAGATATTCTTTTATTTTTATGAAAAATAAATGATAGTAAATGAAATGTTCAACAAAAAATGCCATCAATCAATGTACATCGACATAAACATTTGGCAATAGGACATTGTTGATTCATTGCAAACCAGTTAGAAACATGCTCAGCATGATCACCATGACGACATAAACGGCATCATGTAAACCATTGACTTGACATTAATGTATGCTTATCTATTTTAAATTAAATTAGATTAAATTAAATAGAATAATAAATTAACCTGGTAATGATTCATATGCCTAAGATGCATCTTCAATATATGTTGTTAAACTCATCATACAAATTGAATAACGTGGTAACACTTGTCGACATTTAGCACAGACCATTAACTAAACAAATAGTAAAATAAATTTTAGAATCATTTTATTATTATTATAAAACCATATCAGAATTTGGTAATGGTGAATAAGCAGATGTTGATGATCCAGATAATCTCTTTGTCATTGATTGATGTGATACTCGACTTTTCATTGGTGTTGTAGTTGTATTTGATATTAATCCAATAGTTTTTGGAGTTTGATTTGATATTTCTTCAAGAGCTTCAAGTGGTGTTTGACAAAAAATTCAGGGTTGCGAAAAATGTTTTGCCAGGGGGTTACAGCTCCAACGAAAAATGATATCTATATTGAATTTTATCCCAAACGAAAGCTCGTCAAAAATGGGATTTATCCATACGAATGAATAAGGGCTATAGAGACTTTTTTCTATCGAACTTTGATAATTTCTAGAAATGCATGAACCACAATCATTGCAAAACTTTCTTTTATCATACAGAGCTCAAACTACCTCTGATATAAAATTACTAAAAATAGAAAGATTATCCTTACTTTTTATGGGTTAATGAATGATAAAAAATAAAGGTAACTTTGCTAGATTCAGTATTTTTATATCAGAAGTAGTTTGAGTTCTCTGCGATAAAAGAAAGTTTTGCTATGACTGTGGTTCATGCATTTCTAGAAATGATCAAAGTTCGATAGAAAAAAGTCTCTATAGCCCTTATTCATTCGTATGGATAAATCCCATTTTTGACGAGCTTTCGTTTGGGATAAAATTCAATATAGATATCATTTTTCGTTGGAGCTGTAACCCCCTGGCAAAACATTTTTCGCAACCCTGTACATGAAAAATGTTGATTTCTGTACATATATGTGTATATATTTTTCTATAGACTCTTTATATATGAAATCTTGATTGATACTTGATATAATGCATTGTTTCTCTTATCAATGTCTACGAATATATGCACATATAAATAAATACTAATTAAATTTGCCCACTTATACAGATAACATTTGTGTTGATTAAAGCTTAGTACTAGAATAAGATCTTGAAATAATCAATCATATGCTTAATATCCTAGTATATTAGAGATGAGTTGATATGTTTATTTCACAGAAAGAAAGAAAAAGTTTAAAGATGACAGCAATTATCTTGAACTTTGTACATACTATATATTTAATGTGTTGTAATATATTGAGGTTAATTATTGATAAGGATATATCAATGATTAATAAAAGAAGCT